CCACTGCCAATGGGCAGCCTGCCCGCCGTCCCCCGAGCCCTGGTCCGTGCCCCACGTCACTCCCGAGGCAAACCTGACATCTCTGTGTCTCCACAGGCCCCGGGGCCCCACTGTGATTGTGACACAACACACACGCACACAGACACGTGCACTCAGCCACACGCGTGTGATGGGCAGGGTCCGCCTGGGCCGTGTGCCGCTCCTCTGGCTCTGGCTCCTCCATGCACTCTGCTCTGACCCCTCTAACCTCTCCTGTCCCCGGGGCCTCCCTCCGCAGCTGCCAGGAGATTTCTGGGTTCTCCTCAGCCTCTGGCCTGTGGCCTGAGCAGCGCTGGCTGCCGCGATGAGTCGACAAGTGCGTGGGGACGGCCAGCAGCCGCCACCACAGGGCCTTGTGGAGGGGCCTCCTATGCTCAGGGGCCAGGCCTCCCTCCCCTCGTTGGCGGCTCCCCACTGCCCGCGGGGCCAGGAGAGTCAATGGGCCTGTGTCACAGGATGAATAAAACATGGCCCAGCCCTGCGCCCGCAGCTGACCTGTGGCGGAGTCGACTGTATTAATACGTTCGCGTGTTGTCAGACTCGCAGCGCTAACTGCCTATGAATTATTTATCGACACGAAAGTCTTAACCAGAGCAGTGCTGGCATTAATCCCCCCCGGAGCCCGGCGGCCTGGCCTGTCCGTGTAATTGAATCTCAGCTCCCAGGGCCCGGCCACGGCTCAGGCACAAGGGGCAGCACGGTGGGTCCAAAGCTGGTGGGGCCACACTTCAGTGGGATGCCCACGCGGGCACCCTCCCACCCAGGGCCTTGGTGTAGGAGAATCGCCCAGAGCTGAACCCAGGAAACAGCCAGATGCAGGACACACAGCCACGCGTGGGCGGAACCTCGATGTGTCCGGGAACCTCTGGGCAAGTGCCAGGCTGGGGGGGGGGGGGGGGGGGGCGTGTCTCGGTGGCTTCTCCCGCAGTCCCCACAAAGCGATAGAGCTCAAATCCACGGCCCACCCACCGCCTGACCCCACACCGCCCAGTGGGAGCGGGGGTGGCACACCTGGGCCTCCCTGTTAGGACCCGGCCCCAGCAGCACAGGCAGGCAGACGGTGATAAACAAACCAGGCGGTGGGGCTTTTACAGACGGTGGCAATGCCCCCCAATCTGGTCCTCCTGTGTGGAATA